GGACGTGTAGACTAGAATTAAATCGCTGACTAAAGATGGCCCCTGATTCTTATGGTTTTAACAGAACGGTTTCGAATGTTGTAAAAAAAAATCGCATTTTGCGAGAAGAAATTGTGAGGACGACAAGCCCTCAGAAAAAAAAAACACTAGATGATAATGTATAAAAATCAACCTTTCAGCTTCCAAGTTAAAGAATTTATGTAACTAGCAATTGTAAACAGTTGAGTTGGACCTGGAACAATGGTCAGCACGCTATACACCACATATTAAGCAACAAAATGGGCGGCCAGGTTTCCTAAATAACTCGGATCGGATCTCAACATGAGTGAAAGTCGGCGTGCTAAACGTATTGGGGCAACCCAAATACGTTAGCACCGAAAGTCGTAGAGCTGATTCTTTTAGAAAGGATATATTATAGGTACCACAGGGAAAAAGTTATCACAAAAACAAGGCAAGGGAGAGGACCAGCTCATGCGTGCTCCAATCCGAATCCGCGCCCCAATCACAACTTGGGTTACGGTTGCTACGACTCATCGGCCTGCCGAATCTCTCTTGTCCTCACTGTACGTTCCCCGGACTTGCTGTCATAGCTACACCCTGAGGCCCCCGTGCAACCCCTGGCCCTAAATCGTTTCTCCGCACCCTCACTACTAAACGCTATCAAAGACTTTAAAAAAACGAAAAACAAAAGCTGACACAAAACTCGTAACATGGAAAAGCTTTCGAGAACGACGCCATTCTTTTGCGAATTGCGAATGCGGATAGATTCCGCACTCGGCTGTGACCTTAACGATGCTATCTAAACGGAGCCGAGGTCGCCTCTTTGTTTAAATAACTTTCCCGCGCCCACCCGTTTGAATTGACTTCGTTGCGACGCTCTGTTGATTTGGGAGTCCATGTGAGTGGGTGTTACCTCGTGTTGGGACAGCTAATCCGTTTTTTCCTGTGGGTCTCGTTCGCGGGGTACAGAGGGATTAGCACGTGCAGTCAGACACGTGGAGAGAGTGACTCATCCGCTCGAAGAGCAGTCTCCCAGCGGTACAGCGGGTGGAACGGATTGGACATCGACAAACATGATTTCTTTTGGCATTTCGGCATGGTGGGGCCGCGGAAAACATTGGGGGAAAGCGAATTCAGTCGGAACGAAGCCAGCGATAGCTATCAACGGTATTGTTCAGAAAATCGTGAAGTGTAGTGTAGTGAATGCTTGTCTGAAATGAAGCGTGGGAAATCATCGCGGTAACTCTCCATATTCAATATGAGCAGCATATAGGTCCTCATTTTGGCATCAATGAAACGCTTCCATCTGGGGAAAGATACCGAAAACAGTATCTTTCCCCAGATGCAAGCGTTTCACTCTTGAGTAAACTCTTGTAACACTTCATTGACAACCCATAATTAATCAGTTCTCTAACTTACATGTCGCTTTTTTGGAGAACTACCTTCAGACATTGAGTAGTCGGGTCTCGGAATTCCAGGTCAAACTATCTATCTCTAGCACAAGTTCAGCGGATTTGGTGATCTGCGGTACTTTGGCGCCGGTGCCGTTGCGCGGGCGCCAGGCAGTTTCGGGAGGAGCGGATGTGATATTCGTGTTCAGGAGGTCGAATTACCCCTAGAACCCAACTTTCAGCCAAATCTGCCCCCGTAGAAAAAAGTCGATCAAGATCCGGCCCGTTTTAGGAGAATTGGGGTAGTAATAGTTGAACAGTGCCGAGTTCTGTTCCACTCTTCTCAGGAGTGGGTATTACTCACCGCTTCGACCTAATCGCCACATCAAGCCAAGTAGTAGAGAGCCGGAGAGTCCCGACGGCTAGAGGAATTTGCTCTCTCGCCGCATAAAAAGGATTAGTTGTCAGACAATCGGTGTTAGACCGTAATTCCGGTTATGATTGGAGCGCGTTAATGAATTGGGGCATGGTTCGAGGGGACCTCCAAGCCAATAGACTTCCAGTAGTCAAAAGAGAATGAATTAATTGCTTTATGGTATTACGTTTATATAGATTTATAGTAAACTTCAGCAAATAGACTATCCTGTAAGTGGTTTTTATGCAGCTGGTAGGTAGATTTTATGAACCAAGTATTCTAGAAGATTGATCTCCATCCAAGATGATTGGAAACCTGTGGAACTTTGAATGGGGACAATTCAGGTGTCCCAGAAGTGTTGATTCAAATTCTCCGTTGGTTTTTTTGTCATGAGGGACTTCTCAAAAGCGGTTCAGCAGACGTTACTTACACCTCCGATACTCTCTGGTGTAAATGACACTGGCCTGACCCATAAGTAATGAATTTTTCTAACTCAGAACCTCTCGTAAAAGATGGAACATTTTGCTACAGAGTTCTTGGGCATTTAAGAGATGCTTGGAGCACTACTTAATGGAGAGGTTTTCCCACTGCAAGAAGGTGACTCAGTTTTCTCAGAGATTTATACTCTATTGATTTTCGAACAATTAAAAAGGAGTTTCAAGTTGACAAAAACGAGAATTTTTAACAGCGTTTCCTTTTGCGTTTAATCAAGCACCTGAAGCGGCGCAAATTCTTTTTTTGAAGGGAATGGTCGAGTCGCGAAACTATAGGCTCAGAACTGGTTCAAGTGATTCTAATTCCAATTTTGGCTTCACTCACTAGAATTCACGCCCTCCATATAAGGACAATAACGATTATTCAGTAGGGCGCAAGTGGCTCACAAAAGAATTTAGGCGTGAGGTTCAGTGCATTGCAATAGTCGACCACGGACTCGCACCATATTTGACGCGCGTTACCTGAAAAAAGCGGTCGTACCCGATTTGCCGACATATGCTTTGAGCTGCTACTCGGTAGGCTGTGACGACACGTGGGGGGAATCACTTTATTGTTGTCGTAACACATTTATATACGCTGGATGTTTTCATTCTTCTATCTCCTTTGCCACTATCTTCATTTTCTTCGTCTTCCTTCCTCTTCTCGGCCTTTCCCTTTACTTGCCCTGCTACAATAGTCCCCCTACATCTCCCCCCAAGTGACACTCGTCACTTGCCTCACCACCAGCGCCATTATAACCTAAGTTTTCCAACTTCTCCCCCATCTGTTAACTCTGCAACTCCTACTTCTGCACAACCAATGCCAACAAAACATTTATTTTGCAATTTTCATTCATACTTTTCAGATCACTTACGTACTATTTTGCTGGGGGCTATCTGGCCCTCTCTCAGTATCTTCTTGCATCCTCGCCATCAGCTGCGTACACATCATGCGCAGCTCTTGGATCTCCTGGCGCATCGCCTGCCGTCTTCTTCGGCCTCCTCGAGCTCCCATTCCTCCTCGGGTTCCATTGAAAGTTCCTCGATAACGCGGACGTCCACGAACAGCGGCTCTACCTGCAGCTCTAGACTCCTCTTGAGCGAATGTACCCTGAATATCTACCTTCTCTGGAACCCTACTAATTCTTCGTCTAAACTTTCGAGTTGCACTTACATTTGCGGCCGTCGGCGGCGTGATAAGGTGAATAACAATCGGTGCTGGGCTGGTTCCAGTGTGCAGTTGTCCTGCAGGCATCGGTGGCGGTTGGTAGGGCGGCGGCGTCGGCGACGGCTGGTAGGGCGGCGGTGTATACGTCCACATAAATGGCCACCTCACCGCTTCCTCGCCTTTTATCCTCTCCCCACCACCAACGTGGCTTATCATGTCTGTCTTGTTTATACGTGTTTTCGCCCTCATCGATCTTTCCATTTCTTCTACATAGCCCTGCATCTTGTCGGTTAGTTTACGTGTTCGACCCGATCTTCTTTGCGGCAATTCTTCTTCAAGTGTTTGGTTTCTTTTCCGCGTCGTCAACATAGCTTCGTCATCTGGTACGAGCCTCTCTTTTAACTGATCCGTATGTACTTTACGACTGCCTGTCCCAAAGTGAACGTCATACATTCGACTGCCCAGTACTTGAGTGATTATTCCTGGGATCCACTTGTCCCCTTTTTGATAGTTCCTAATATAGACTTGCTGGCCGACAGTAAAACTTCTCTCCTTTCTCCCCCTTTTATTATAGTCGGCGATCATACGCTCTCTATACGCGCTATTACCACTCTCTTTATTTTTCGTTTTACGGATATCTAGCGTTGTTCTAAGTTGTCTTCCCATTAGGATCTCCGCCGGAGACTTCCTTGTTGCTGGGTGCGGTGTCACTCTATACTCAAACAGTAATCCTGCTAAAATACTTCCCGGCGATTTCCCATCTCGCAATCCTTTATACCACCCCTTTTTGAATGTCTGTACAAATCTCTCAGCTTCGCCGTTTGAATTTGGGTGATATGGCGAGATCCAAGGTCAATTCATATTTCTTCCTTTACAAAACTCCTTGAACGCCGTCGAAGAAAACGGTGGTCCATTATCGGACACAATTTGCTCCGGTAACCCATGACTTGCAAAATCATCCTTAACTTTTCTATCGTTCTTCTCGGCTGTAGTACTGCCCATGCGGACCACTTCTGGCCACTTAGACTTGGCATCCACCAGGATAAGCCATTTTTCACCACCCTCCGTTTGGCAGAAATCTATATGTAGCCTTTGCCACGGATTTGCGGGTTCTTCCCACAAGTGCAGTGGCATCTTTGCGGGATCATTACCAAACACAGCACAGGTTTCGCACAACCTGGCCACCTGAACTATATCTCTATCTATTCCCGGATACCATACTTTCCTGCGTGCTAGACTTATCATTCGATTCTTGCCATAATGGCTGCTATGCAGCATGTGCAAAACCTTTTTTCTAAATTTAGAAGGTACTATGACTCTATTTTCCCACAGAAGACACCCATCATGAATTGATATTGCAGCACTCTTGACTGCAAAAGCTTTCAGCGTCTCTTCCACCTTGGGAGGCCAGCCCTTTCTAACATATTGCAAGACTTGAGCAAGCACTGGGTCTTCTGCTGTCGCTTTTGCAACTTCTTCCTCCGATAGCGGGAGGTTCTCAAAAACTTCTTGATCTAGAGCTCTCACCTGGAGCTCTCTGATGACTGTTTCGGCACTCGGTAATTCGCGAGGGTCAGGTAACCGTGAAAGACCGTCTGCGTTCCCAAATTCCGCCGTCTTCCGGTACTCTATGTCAAATGAATAAACCATCAGTCGCAATCCCCATCGATGCAGCCTCTTTGCTGCTATCGTGGGTAACCCATGTTTTGGGCCGAATATCCTCACTAACGGCTGATGATCCGTTAACAACGTGAATCTTCTACCATATAGGAACTGGTTAAACTTTTCAACACCGTAAACTATGCCCAACGCCTCTTTCTCTATTTGTGCATAGTTCTTTTCTTCTTTAGTTGAGGAACGAGAGGCATAGGCAATTACTTTTTCATTGCCATCTTTATACTTATGGTAGATAACTGCTCCTAGTCCGTAATCTGACGCGTCCGTAGCTAATACCACTGGCACATCAGGGTTATAGTGTGCCAGCACATCTATTTCAGTTAATCTTTTCTTTATTTTCTCAAACGCCTTCTGAAGCTCTTCGTTCCAACGCCACTCCACTCCTTTTTTCCTTAAAGCATTTAGCGGAGCTGCTAGCATTGACAAATTACGTATAAATTTACCATAGTACTGTACCATACCAAGGAATGATCCAACTCTTTGATATTCTTTGGTGCCGGCATCCTCTGCATTGCCTCTATTTTGTGCGGCGATGGTCTTATACCTTGGGCATCCACTATATGGCCCAAAAATTCCATCTGTGCCTTTAAAAACTCGCATTTACTTCGCTTCAAACGGAATCCAGCCGTTCTTAATCTTTGCAGGACCTTTTCCAGTCTTTCGAGGTGGGTTTCGTCATCCGGCCCGGTAACGGTTATATCATCTAAATAAATAATTACCCCCTCTATTCCTGCTAACGTGGTTTCCATTATCTTCTGAAAGATAGCTGGAGCGGATGCTATTCCAAAAGCTATCCTATTATACTCAAATAATCCTTTTTGTGTATTCACTGTAGTATATTTTCTCGACTCCTTATCCAACTCGACCTGCATATATGCTTCAGACAGGTCCAATTTCGAAAACTTTTGCCCACCATTTAACATGTGGAACAGATCATCTGGCTTGGGCAGTGGATACTGGTTAATGTCTAATTGCGGATTTATCGTTATCTTATAGTCTCCGCATATTCTAACCTTACCTCCAGGTTTTGGAACGACCACTAATGGAGTAGCCCACTCCGAATGGTCAACTTGTGTTAAGGTGCCATTGTTTACTAACTCCTGGAGCTTCTCTTCTACTTTAGGCCGTAATGCTAAAGGAACCGGTCGTGCTCAAAAAAACTTCGGCACTGGCTCCATTTTAAACTTGAGCGTAGCTTGGGTGGTTATACATCTTCCAAGACCGGGCTTAAATACAATCTTATTATCTTCTATGATCTTAGCAAGCTTCTGCTCCGGCTTCGGCAGAGGCTTCTCCTGCATTTCATGTATACCCTGATAATGGGGTCCACAATCGATCCTCAAAGCTCGGATCATATCTCTACCGCACAAACTGCGAGTAGTTCTAGTACGTGTAAATCCATCTCGGCTTTTCTGCCATTAAACTGGACCCAAACCGTGCACTTACCGCAGAACTTAATTGGGCTGTTGTTATAAGCTGTTGCCTCAATCGTAGCTTCTGTGAGCGGAGGTTTACCTATCCTTCTCCACGAAGCCACATCTAATATTGATACCGAGGCTCCGGTATCCAATTCGCACGCGACGTCTGTGCCATGAATTTTATCTTCAACATGGTGGCTGGTTCTACTCTCACTCTCAGGCACGACTTCCGGTCTGCCGATCGACGCGTCTCTGCGGATCGTCCGACCTGCCACTCCGAGACCCCTTCGGATCTCCTGGCCTGATGCTTTGACTTGACCAGCTCTTCTCTACGACCTTGACGCTCCCTATGAGTTAATCTATCTATATTGTTCTCACTACTGTCACATTCGTCAAGATCGGAGGTGCTGGGCTCCGCACACCAGTTAACCCGGCGGGAGACTTTTCTCACGCCCGACGCTTTCGATCTACAAGCTTTGGCCATGTGTCCAGGTCGAGAACAGTTGGAACAGAATGCTGTTTGCCTCTTGAAACACTGATAGAAGGCATGTCCTCGACCTCCACAACATGTGCATTGTGCTATTGCGGTCGAGCGGTTGTTTACAACTCTATCATTCTGCGGCTGCCGTTTAACCCGGCTTTCATTTTGCCTTGACCGAGCTTGCGAGAGCGGTAAGTCTGGTTTCGGCTTCGCTAATAACTTTCCCCTTTTTGCGCGAACCACGGAGATACCCACTTCTTGAACACCCTCTTTCAGGTGCGGGGCGTTTCTTCCTACCCTCTCAAACGCTTCGGCCGCTTCTAAGGCTTCCTTAGACGTTAGATTCTCTCTCTCTCTAACAATCGTTTCCTAGTTTCCACTGAAGCTAACCCTCCTATGAATACCATTGTGACCATGGCATCGCGGTGATCCTTTATTTTTTCGAACTCACATGCTGCTGCAGCTTTCTGCAGCTCAGCGTAGTAGTCCTGCAAGGTTTGTCCAGGGCGCTGTGATCGCGACATCAAACCATAGCGTTCGGCCAATATCAGCTTCTTCGGCTGGAAATGGCCAGGCCATAGTGTCGCTTAACTCCTTTAATGTCACTTGTTCTGGTTCTCTTTCCTTGTAATAATGACTCCAGCAGTTCATAGTTGCTACCACCAATTTCCTGCAAAAAGATTAGTCTCTGTTCCATTTCATCAGTAACCTTCCTCAATACGAGGAAGTTATTGAACAGTCGCCTTCAACATGGTGGCTGGTTCTACTCTCACTCTCAGGCACGACTTCCGGTCTGCCGATCGACGCGTCTCTGCGGTTCTCATCCTGATCGCCACTCGGTAGGCTGTGACGACACGTGGGGGGAATCACTTTATTGTTGTCGTAACACATTTATATACGCTGGATGTTTTCATTCTTCTATCTCCTTTGCCACTATCTTCATTTTCTTCGTCTTCCTTCCTCTTCTCGGCCTTCCCTTTACTTGCCCTGCTACAATAGTCCCCCTACACTGCTGTAACTGAAGCGTGAACTACTTCAGGGATAATGCACTGCAGGAAGTCGAACTAAACTATTGTTGGGAAAAAGCAGACCTTTTTCTGTCAAAAAATTGAAATTCTCATTAAGCTGAGAGGAAGAATGACAGTTTTCGTTCTGTTCAGAAACTAAGGTTTCCATGATTTTTTTCCTATGCTATAGTCTAATCTTATTCCACTGGTAATCAGAGCACCAATCGTCCTTGTAACCAGAAGTTCGAATGCGGTGAAGTTGAAATCAGGCTCAACTATTGTTGCTGGAAACGCGAAAACCATAAAATGGCACTATTCAACTATTACTACCCCAAAAAGACAAAAATTTTCTTTTGGTGAAACCTCGCCCACAGAGATAGTTCAGTGTCCTAATCACGAATATAGCACTCGTTTTGGGCGCTGGCGCCCAATTGGCGCCAGTTTGGCGCCGCCACCTATCCTACCAAATTTGCATGGTATGGGACATTCACTCCAGCGTCATTTAACACTTTCTAGGGCTGAGCGTGTGAGAAAGAGTGTTTTCCTTTAGGTCAGGCCAGCCATACCAGAGCGCAGACAATCACAGCGTCTTCCATCAGCGCCAGCGCCAAAAATGAATGTGATATATGCAATCAAGATGTTAAATGGTCTTCTATACAAGTTTTCAGCGGATTTAGTGACCTAGGGTATTTTGGCGCTGGCGCTGAAATACCCTAGGTCAGGCCAAGTGGGTGTGATGTTCGTGTTCAGGAGGTCGAATTACCTCTAGAATCCAACTCTCAGCCAAATCTGCCCACGTAGAAAATAAGTTGATTAAGATCCGGCCTGTTCTTGGAAAATTGGGTGTTTTCCATAGAGCGCGTCGAATATGGTGTGAGTCCGCAGCCGACTATCGCAATGCATTCAACCTCACGCCTAAATTCTTTTGTGAGCCACTTGCGCCCTACTGAAAAATCGTTATTGTCCATATAAGGATAGCTCTATATGATGGCAAGTCTGCGAGTAGCAGCACCTCTCCAGAATACCAGCATCTTTGGAGAGTAAACCACTGGTAATAATATGGAAACATGCTGCTATTTCTACACAGCCCTCTTTATTCGCCTACGATTTCGTTTCCCTTTCCACTTCTGGAATCATGTAACAGCTTCACCAAGGCATCATTTACATCCAACAACAAG